GGTAGATTGACTGGAGTGGAGATCATGATGTGTGTATATCAGTGTCATATAAGAGCATCAGGAGGAAGATAAGAGGTGTTGAGTGTTGGTTTGGATATAATGCTCAGTCCTGGAGTTTGATCTGTGATTCCCCCAGTTTCACATTCAGACACAATAACACACACACTGATCTCCCAGTGAAGCCGCTCAGCAGGAGAATAGGAGTGTTTGCGGATCACAGTGCAGGAACTCTGATCTTCTACAACATCTATAGAGACACAATGAGCCTCATCCACTCAGTCCAGACCACATTCACTGAGCCGCTCTATCCTGGGTTTAGGATTGGTTATGGATCATCAGTGAAACTGAGCTGAAGACTGACGAGAGATTTACCCAGAATCCTCTGCAGGAGCAGTCAGCAGCAGTGTGTGTGTGTGTGTGTGTGCATGTCTGTCTTTCTCGCTCGCTCTGTGTGTGTGTGTGTGTGTGAGCGTGTCTGTGTGGGTGTGTGTATGTGTCTCTCTCTTTGTGTGTGTGTGTGAGTGAGTGTGTGTGTGTGAGTGCGTGAGTGTGTGTGTATGTGTGAGTGTAAGTGTGTGTGTTTGTGTGTGTGTGTGCACGTGCGAGTCTGTGTGTGTGTTTGTGTTTGTGTGTGTGTGTGTGTGTGTGTGTGTGGAAGAAAAAAAAAACTGTAAATCTCTTGATGGTGTTCATCATCTGTTCTGGTTCTTCTTGTGGTGAGCAGAGCAAGTTTTGCTTGAGCAGCTAAACAGTGAATGAGCCGCCATTTCAGTCTGTGTCTCTGACTATAGCCAGCTCCAGAAGAAACTTACACTGAGTCCAATTCTGTCCACATTTCAGGAAAAGTCTGCTCCACATATCAAACTATTGTGTTCAGCGTCTACACTCCAGATAGCCGTGATGATCCACAGTCTCTCCATGTGCACAGAAGAGACACTCGTCATGGACACTAGAGTGAACAACACATATGAAGCGTTCACTGCCACAATCCCCTGCAGAATCCTCCATTGTAAATCCCCAACACGTTTGGTCAATGGTGCTTTATACAAAACTCTCCACAGCGCTCTCCCCCTACAGCATCATCACATATCCATTCCTTCTGTTCATCTGCCTTCGTCTTCTCTCTGATCACGAATAATCATCAGGATATCAGACGTGTGTTTGGACATGATGTGCTCTCTTCAACAAGCAGCTGTTGTCTTCATTCTGCAGGCTGTTGGCTCTGGCAGTCGCTCAGATATGTGTAAGCTGGCCTATAATAAACAGCAGAGTTCTTCTGCAGTCGGGTGATGTGCTCCATCAGGCACAGTCGTCTCAATAGTATCCTGTAGTGTGCTGTGCCCGATGTGTTCAGATCTTGTAGTGTGCGCACGTTTAAGAGTTGAGAGAATATAAGGCTCATTCCTGGCGTTGGCTAATAGTTCAGCTTGAGCAAACTCATGTTTAAAAGTGTGTTGATGATATTGTTAAATAGCCTACATCATGAGGCACAATTGAAGCGTTCACAACATCATCTTTTCCCACCTCAGCCATTAAAGCTTTATATTATTTTCTCTTTTATTCTTATTTGGACAGCCGTTATTCTCAACCCCGTAACGGACTAAACTGAGTTTAATAATAGCATTTCACAAAGCTTTTGCTGTAAAACCAACATTTCCCTGTTGCTCATGTGTGCCTCAAACCAGTTTAATGGCTAAAACATCACATTTCTGAGGAGTTTTACATTCAGATGTGATTTAATTATACAACTTATGCATCTGTGCTCTCTTCATTTCTCTAAAAAAGCTTTAACTTTAGATGTCTTACCCAAACCACATGTTCACAATGTCAGGCTTAACATGGCGGCTGGTCCTCAGCTAGAAGTTTTTCTATATTTAATTGTTTCCCTTTAACAATATGAACTTCACAGGGTGGAGAATACAGTGACGGGGTGAAGACCGTAACAGGGTTGAGGAGACACTTTCATTTCAATGTTCATTTGCTTTAATTAATGTGAAATTAAATCTAAGACTAAACTAAAACACTTCTTTATTTCAGTAAAGCATTTAGGCATTGATCACACTGAGATGACATTAAACTTCATTAAACCAAACTACAGTCAGAATTCAGAACAGTGAAGTGCTGCAGGTAACTGGAGCGTTAGTAACCTTTACCAATGCTGATCAAGGCCTGTGTTCCCAAATATACTGCTGAACAGAACCTGCAGTGAACAGCAGCAACAGCTACATCATGACTAAACCTTTATTTCCTGGAACATCAAGAAAAACTGCAGCAGAAAACAGTCTTCTTAATGAAAATGCTTAATAATAATAATAAAATTATACAGGCAGACGGGCTGCTCTGTGCTCTGAGTATTTCAGAAACTGCTGATCTACTGGGATTTTCACGCACAAACCATCTCTAGGGGAGGAAATATCCAGTGAGCAGCAGTTCTGTGGGCGCAGATGCCTTGTTGATGCAGTCAGAGGAGAATGGCCAGACTGGTTCCAGCTGATAGAAAGGCAACAGTAACTCAAAAAGGCACTCGCTACAACCGAGGTCTGCAGAAGAGCATCTCTGAACACACGACACGTCCAACCTAGAGGCGGATGGGCTACAGCAGCAGAAGACCACCAGATATTCCTCAACCTTTTGACAGCTGAACCTTCTTTATCTCTAATATTAATATGAATTCTGCCCTTAATGACCCCCTCTCTAACGTTGGCTAATTGTCACATGACATAGAGATGAGCAAATAAACTGTTTACATAATTAAAGTCTTTTTTTACTGCACATGTTCTGATTTGATCAGCTTTAACTCATGATGAAACTCGTGACACATTCAATATAAAATCTGCTGCTGATACGGGCGCCATGTCTGACATAAGATTGTGTCACAGTTTCAGTGGAAACACTGCTTCAAATATTCTCTCAGTGACTAAATAAAGTTATAGTCAGTGTATATTTACTGAAATGTTCTTGATAAATTAGGAGAAAATCTCAATCCTGTTACAAGTTTACTACTCTGAAACAATGAGATGAGTGACGGGGTCGAGTGTGATGGGTTGAGCTACTGAAACAAAATGGCCGCTGCTCCTCGTGTGGTTTAAAAGAGAAGGTCCACATGGCAGCAGTTAAACTAGAATATGTCAAATTGTTTAGAAATTAAGAAAACAATCATACTCCATCTTAGTTTTACGTTACAGGGTTGAATTGTTAAGCTTGACCGTACCCTTCCTAACCATAATAAACCTCAAATAATGTAAATAAATGACAATATATCTCGCCTTCTTTTGCACCGTGCTGTTAAAGAGAGCTGAATGATGTCACTTCCTGTCTGTGATGTAATAATACATATAAATTGCTATAGGTGGAACAATGCTAGTGTAATAGAGTTGAGTTTATATTGAGGGACAAAACTTTGTAGCCTGTTTTTTATGAAAAAAAAATCTTATTTTTTATTTTATTTGTATTTATCACAAGAAAATAACTCAGATAAATAGTTGTAATACTGAAAAAAAATGTAGACACTGTGTGTATTTGATTAATTTGTTTCTACATGCAATTTCAGAGAAGTGCCTCGGGGACATGACAGATAGCTTTGGTTTGTGACAGAAATGTTGAAAGTTCTCCCAGTTCTTCTTCTTTCTCCCCACACATTTATGCATGTGTAAATAATGCTCCACAGCTCCACAATCATTCCTCTGACTGTTAAATCACATGTAAATCTCCTATAACCTCATCCACTTACTGCTTCAAGAAATCCAAGAGGCGAGGGCTGGGACAAATGCAGTGTTTAGTTTACATACACTAACATGGCCAGCAGGCCTCACTGATCTGGGCTACATCACTGTGTAAATGTTTTCTGCGTTGGGTTGAATTTATTTGAACCCTTTCAGAAACACATGGAGTCAGATGTGCTTCAGGCATTAGTGATGAGCCAGTCTAGTTCAAACACAATGACTCTGTGCTAGAAGACTGAGTACCTGTCTTACTTCTGTCCTCGCAGATAAAACTGAACAGAACGCCACAAACTTAAAGCAGGACTTCCAGGACTGAGAGAAATAAACAACTATTAACTGAAGTGAAAGCACAAGCGGCCGGCACTTCTGTTGACATACAGTACATGAAGGGCTCTGTCCGTGAGAGCAATAGCCTTGACCCCCCAGTTCTGTGTTCTGCTCAGTTACCTTCAGCTCTTCTGTGACTTTTCTTGACGTCTCGGCATCATTCTACACTTTTTGTACAAGCGAGCTTCCCCTGAAAAAAGATTTTATTAGATTTTATTTAAGGCCTTGGTGCTTTCTGTCCAGCCAATATGTGTCCAGATGCAGTTTAATGTGCATGTCGATTGAACTCCTTCAGCATGAACCCCATCAAAATAAGCGGAGTCAGCAGTGTGCTCTTCCTACTGAAACATTACTCCATGCTCTTTAAGTTTAATGTGTTTATAATGTATTTATTTCATGAAAATGTTATTTATGAAAGTGTTTTTACCTTTTCTGTTAGATTAAGACGATGAGCTTTAAACACTGACAGTTCTGAGCTTTATAATGGCAACAAACTGCAACCAACAGTTCTGGTTCAGGGTTTAGTGGCGGCTTTCTGAAGTGGAGCGAGGAAAATGTCCAGAACACATCAGCTGACACCCGATCTCAATTCAGTTTAGAAACTCAAGAAATGTACAGTCGTCTCAGAGATCTAATGAAGCTGGAATATATTTTATTATTCCTTCATTCATTTTCTGTTCGGTTTAGTCCTTTTATTAATCTGAGGTCGCCACAGCGAAATGAAACAAAGATGCCCTTCCAGATGCAACCCATCTCTGGGAAACATCCAAACACACTCATACACTACTGACAATTTAGTCTACCCAATTCACCTGTACCTGTAATCTTTGGACTGTGGGGTAAACCAGAGCACCTGGAGGACGCCCATGCAAACGCAGGGAGAACACACAGAAACGCCAACTGACCCTGCCAAGGCTCGAACCAGCGAACTTCTTGCTGTGAGACGACGGCACTACCTACTGCGCCACTGCGTCACCTTATCTGAAATCATATATGCATAAATGTAAATATATGAAATGTGACCTCCTGTACTTTTATTTTGCCATCCCAGCGCTCACCCTGGGGCTGATGTGTTCAGACTCAGCATCAGTTGAACATCTTTAATCAGCCGCAGGTCATCTAGAGGAGCTTTAACACATGAGCTGTTCACACTTCTGTATGGTCCATATCAGAAAGAGTCGAGTTTTGGAGTTCTGCTGGAGACCTGCACATAGAGGAACACATGGACATCAGACTGCTGATCAATCTGCACAGGAGACGCTGAAGAGGAGGAAGACAGATGATGGAGGAAAAGCTGAAATAAATCTATTATCAAGGGAAATATTCAGACAGAATGATGAGGAGTTTAGGATGAAGATGAGAAGAGACGACATTTATATAACATTAAAATATTAGTGGAGACAAATAAACATGCGTGTGTGTGAGAAACAGAGAGGAGGAAGTGATGTGAACTAGACTGAGGTGAGGACACACTCGACTAAACTCAACACTGACATTAATGGAGTTCAGGAACAGGATTAATGTGGAGACTGTAGAGTTCTAGAGAACATGTTAGATTTGATGGAGGACATATGCAAGAGAGGAGGAAATTGATTAAATATGTAAATAATAATGGACATGAAGAGACGTTCAGAATATAGATTGTGACAGTACTGTCTCTTCTTCCAGTGAGACCTGGTCAAGATGGCAGGCAGCACAAACAGTTTCACATAAAAATGGGATCCTATTGATGTTGATTCAGCTATAATAATAAAATAATACACTTTATTTATATTGCGCTTTTCTCAAACTCAAAGCACTAACAAGAGCATCAAAACACAGAAGAACATCAAATACACAAAAAGTAAGAATGATAATAATAAAAATATACATATGAAAAGAAGGCCTCATATAAATATTTATTTCTTTATTTATAGGCCCAGGGCAGGCTGCGCTGAGTATTTTAAATAAGTGGGTTTAAATTAAACACAATAGGATCGTTGGCTGTGCGCGAGCAACATCTCAGGTAGCCAACTCTTTTAAGAGCTGAACTAAAAGAAGTTTAAGGGCAATAAGCCTATACAATACGGTCAGCTGTAATGCCTATTTCACATGCGTTTTCCGACACAACAAGACTTTCGAGACTTTCTAAAACCCTGGATTAATGAAGAAAGTTTCTAATTAACTAATTAAACACAAACGTATAATTGATAATAAATAATGTGTTGTAGTTCAGACTAACAGATGAGCTCGCTGTCTGTGCGTCGCAGTAATGGTGAACTTGGCATTTGCTCTTTGTGACTAAATTATGTTATACAGCGGCTCCAGTTCCATATAGCACATATAAATATTGCAAATAGGCTACTATTCGGTGCTGCCAACTGTTTGCATTTTATTTTATGCATTTACTGTTGCATGAAATAATAAAAAAAGGGAAGAGCGCTGGTAAAGAGCGTGATGCGCACAGAAATTCACCCATTCTGAAGTTCTCTTTAACCTAATAGGGTATATGCCGAGCTAGTGCTGTTCCCATGCTGATCCACTTCCGGTGACCTGTTATTGTGAACTTTTTCCCATTTTATACGGTTCCTTATACAGCATCGATGTTGTGATGTCATTAAAATACAATCAGTTAAATAAACTTTAGCATTTATTTAGTTGTTCAAGTGTAAAACGAGACAAAAAGCCGTTTACTCGCACGCTCCCGTCAGAATCGGCAGGCTAACGCAGAAGCTCCACTGAATATACTGGGGTAAAATAAATGCTCATATTATAAACATATGGCGGGGGAAATGTCATTTAATGCAGTGCTTCTTGTACAATCTGACACCCACCTTGAATCGGATATCACTCAGCTAGTGGATATCGCTGATTTTTTAAAGAAAACAGACCTTAAACATACAGGATTTTGCATTAGCATTTAATTCGCCGGAAGCGCTTAACCCAGGTTAATGTTAAATTAAAAGTTCTATTAGCATGCTTCGGCATATACCCCATTCTTCTTAAATTGTAGAAAATCTTTAAAATGACAGGCCTTTAATCTTTTCCATCTGGAGAATTACAGTTATTAATAGCTTAGTCCTTATTAATGATCGGTTAATAAAATACATCATTTACAGATCTACTGAAGAATAAGACGAATGTGCAATAACTATAATATTTTTATGTTCATTGATGTAAGCCTGCTAACTGATCAAATGACAGAATATGTAAACTTAGTTTATATATATATATAATTAAATAATAATAATAGTTCAAATCCTGTGTGCTGGTCCACAGAGGGCTCTTATTTTGAGGGTTACATCACGAACTCAGATTTGGTTGACCAATCAAAGGAAAGTTGGCGTTTCAGCACCGCCTACATGTGTATAATGAATTTTGAAGTCATTTATCCGTTTTCCTACCCTGAATAAAAATAATTTAAATTTAGCCAAAATCTTGTTTCTTCGTTTCTTGTGAGCAAATGAAAAACAGAAAAACGGCCGCTTTCTTCATTTTTCTTTTTTTGATTCAGGATGGATATGGATTGGACGGAAGACACCCTGATTCACATGGTCACCATTAGGTTGTGGGTTGTTTCTCTGGATGTTGTGGCGAGTGTTCCAATGCAGCGTTGCCACAAGTACAAACCACCAACACCTGTCACCTCATCAGCACCAATCGCCACCTGCAGCTCATTAAGACTGGAGCATATAAACAGAGAAAGAGAAGACACAGGGTGAGCTTGATCTCTCCTAGAAGACACGCTAATGCTCCTTTCTCTGTTTTCCCCAGCAGATAGCAGTGGCTAGACCGGCACCTCAGATTGTTTTCAACTATCCTAACCTTCATCAGCCCTGAGGCCTTTCCACATTACTCGGCCAAAGGACTCATACCTGCACAGCTACCCTACCCTCACCTCCTTACCTTGCACTGTAAATAAATCACCCTCTGGGTCGTTACACCATATCTGTTTGAATGCTCATGTTTTATCCCTCGTCTCGCCACAACTGGTGGAGAATGCGGGCAGATTGAGTGGATAAAACCCCACATCTGGTAACATTGAATTATTTTTTTATTTTTTAGGCGAGCGGCTGCTCTCTCTCTCTAATCCCTCAAAACGGTGTGGAGGAATACACCCCTCTGTGAGACAAAATGGAGGATATCATGCGTCGCCTCTCTGAGATAACCACACGACAACAACTGTTCACCGAACAGCTCTCCGTCAGACAACAGAGAATGGAAGAGCGCCTGTTCCAGATGGCTGAACACCTCCCACTCCCAGAGGCACGCACCTCCGCTCACCGCCATTTGACAAAGCTCGGTGACCTGGATGATATTGATGCGTATCTGCATACGTTTGAGGTCATCGCAAAGAGAGAAGAGTGGCCCGAATCCGAGTGGGCTCAAATCCTGGCCCCCTTCTTAACCGGAGAGTCACAGCGGGTGTACTTCTCGTTGGATTCCCCCCAAAATGAAGATTATACTGTACTAAAAGGAGAGATCCTGGCACGTGTGGGGTTATCGCCGGTGAGAGCAGCGCAACAGTTCACTACATGGGCGTATGAGGAGGGTGCCCCAGTACGGGCGCAGGCAGCTCAACTCAGCAAGCTTGTCCGCTTATGGCTCCTCGGGGGATCCCCAACCGCTACACAGGTTGCCGAGAAAGTCGTCATTGAGAGGTTGCTGCGTGCTCTTCCTAGAAGACTCCGGGGGCCTGTAAGCATGAGGAACCCTGCAAGTTTGGCAGCTTTAGTGGAGGCGGTGGAGTTGGCAGAGGCCACACTGACCCGAGACATTATCGAGAGAGCAGCCGTTCCCTCCCGGAGGGTGAATTCACCATGGCGGCAGGTGGAGAGTACCTCACGGCCCATCAGCAGACCGGCTGTCCCGAGTCCGGCGGATGAGCCCATGCCCACTGAACCAGTGAACTCCACTGCACGTGCCTGGTTGGCTGGCTGCATCGTTCACCGGACCCTACCATCAGGTGCTCCGTCTCGCAGAGTGAAGCTTGAGGGGAAGACTATCACGGCTGTATTGGATACCGGGAGCTCCGTGACGCTGGTACAACCAGGTTTGATCAAGCCTCGAGTGGGATCTAAAGCCACAATATCGATAACCTGTGTGCATGGTGACACACGTTACGTCCCCGCACAGCGGGTAACGATTGCAGCCGGCAACGGCGCATGGCCCCTGGAAGTGGGCGTTGTAGCTGATCTCCCCGTCCCCCTTTTGCTTGGCCGGGATTGGCCAGGGTTTGAGGAGTTATTGTCTTTGCCAGCAGCAACCCCCTACCAGACACGTCGCCGCCCCCGGGCTCGGACTCAACGGGTCCGCCAACCAGCTCTCCTGGCCACAGAGAGCGACCGAGGGGGTGAGTGTTCGAATCAGTCTTCTAATGTCTTTATGGATTTGTTCCAACAGGTCTCTAGGGGAGGTTCCTTCGGACAAGCCCAGCGTGAAGATGACACACATAGAAACTGCTGGTCCCAAGTTTGAGTAGTGGAGGGCCAGGAAAGGCTCCCTGCTCCTCACCCCCTCCCACACTTTATCATCCTGAATGGTCTGCTGTACTGTGCAGCTGAGCGACGGGGGGAGAGGAGGACATAACTGGTGGTACCAAAAAGCAAAACGTCCACCATCCTGGAGCTCGCCCACACTCACCCAATGGCGGGTCACTTAGGAGCAGCCAACACGATTCAGCGCATTCGGGACCGATTCCACTGGCCTGGGCTAAATGGTGAGGTCAAGAGATACTGCCAGGCATGCCCGATGTGCCAGAAAACTGCTCCCCAACGTCCTCCCCCCAGTCCCCTGATCCCGTTACCCATCATTGAGGTACCCTTCGACCGCATTGGTCTGGACCTGATAGGGCCCCTGCCAAAATCCGCCCGAGGCCACGAACACATCCTGGTCATCCTAGACTATGCCACCCGATACCCTGAGGCCATACCCCTACGCAAGGCCACCTCCAATGCCATTGCCAAAGAACTCTTCCTGCTGTGTAGCCAGGTGGGCATCCCCTCAGAGATCCTGACTGACCAGGGTACTCCATTTATGTCCCGGCTGATGGCAGACCTCTGCCACCTCCTGAAGGTGAAACAGCTGCGAACACCCGCAGACGGATGTGCTCGTTGAGCGGTTTAACCAGACCCTAAAACGGATGCTTCGCAGGGTCGTGGCAGAAAATGGTCGTGACTGGGACCTCATGATCCCATACGTACTGTTCGGCATTCGTGAGGTGCCCCAAGCCTCTACTGGGTTCACTCCTTTTGAGCTACTGTTCGGCCGACAACCCCGCGGCCTCCTGGATGTGGCACGACAGGCCTGGGAACAGGAGCCCGCACCCCAGCGGTCCCTCATCGAACACGTACAAGACATGAGGCAGCGAATTGAATGGGTAATGCCCCTGGTACGACAGCATCTCACTGAAGCCCAGCACGCCCAACGACGTGTCTATGACAGGCCTGCCCAAGCCCGAGAGTTCCAACCTGGAGACCAGGTCCTGGTGCTAGTGCCCACAGCAACTTTCAAGTTTCTGGCTTCCTGGAAAGGGCCCTATGTAGTTGTCGAGAAGGTCGGGCCAGTAAACTATCGTGTCCGTCAGCCGGGACAACGTCGAGAGGAGCAGAGTTACCATATTAACTTACTGAAACGGTGGGTTTCCCCTTCTAGCCAGCTGGTAACCTTTGCAGAAAGCCCACATCCTACGGTACACCTAGGCGAACAGCTCTCAGCCACTCTGAAGACGGAGCTTGAAACCCTGGTCAGTGTGTTTAGTGAGCATCCTGGGCGCACCACTGTCATTCAGCACGAGATCAAAACAACCCTAGGAGTCATTGTGCGACAGCGGCCCTATCGGGTTCCAGAAGCTCGCCGGCTGGCAATAGAGGAAGAGGTACAGAAGATGCTGAAGTTGGGGGTCATCGAGCCATCTCGGAGCCCGTGGTCCAGCCCCATTGTCATGGTCCCAAAACCGGATGGCACCCTCCGATTTTGTAATGACTTCCGGAAGCTAAATGAAGCATCCAGCTTCGACGGGTACCCGATGCCTCGGGTGGTTGAACTCCTGGACAGACTCGGTAGTGCCAGGTTCATATCCACCCTCGACTTGACCAAAGGTTACTGGCAAGTTCCGCTAGCCCCAGGGGCAAAAGAGAAAACCGCCTTCACCACTCCTAGCGGCCATTGGTATTACCGGGTCCTTCCCTTTGGGCTGCATGGGGCACCGGCAACGTTCCAACGAATGATGGACATATTGCTCCGGCCCCACCAAAGTTATGCCGCGGCCTACCTTGACGACGTAGTAGTCCACTCGATGTGTTGGGAGGAACATCTTACCCGTCTGCGGAGGGTGCTCCTAGAGTTACGACGGGCTGGGCTCACAGCTAACCCCAAGAAATGTCATCTCGGGCTTGCAGAGGCAAAGTACCTGGGATATCACATTGGTCGGGGGTTGATCCAACCGCAGCAAGCCAAAGTAGAGGCTCTACAGAAGACTCCCCGGCCTACCAATAAGTCCCAGGTACGTGCCTTTTTGGGGTTAGCGGGTTATTACCGATGTTTCATCCCCAACTTCTCTTCCGTAGCCAGCCCATTGACAGACCTGACAAAGAAGGGACAGCCAGAAAGAGTCAATGTCTTCAAGCAAGCGTTCCTGTTCTTGGGCAGTCTTTTGACTAATCATCTGACCCCTTTTGTTCTGATCTGTAATAGGAAGAAAAAGCAATGATGTTACAAAAGTGTTGCATGAAATTTAACAAGAAGAACCAGCGTAACACCAATCTGCATCATTTACTGATTTATCTGGAGCAGAAAAGTAATGAATTGCCCCATAAGCCTTACTGTAGCTGCACAAATAGGTGATAGTGATTAGCAACAGGCTTAGTGATTCAGTAAATCTCCCTATAGACTGACAAAAGCAACACACGGTGCTCTGGCAGATACAGTAAAGGACAGAGAAATCCTGAGGTTTGTAGCTGCTCATTGAAAAGAAAGTAGATACGTATAAAACAACTGAGCTAATCGCACCAAGAATGAGAAGCAAACATTGCCTTTTGAAGATATGGAGCCAGAATAGAGAGGCCTAATTTTGGGGTCTAGTGTGCATTTTTTTATTACTGTTATTGATTAGCTCAAGTTATATAGTTTGGTTTTACTCTGATTTGCATGGATCAATCATTCTGTTTTCACCTTTAATAAATATATCTTATTCCTCTATAAGTCAAAATATGAACTGAACTTGTCAATAGTGTTCATTTAACATTGAGTGAATGCTAGTTGCTTTACCCATTGAACATTCCAGTGATTATTTATAAAACATTTTACTTACCACAACTTGCCTACTGCTTGACATGGATAACCCGCTGATTTACTGTGTCATCGCTGCAGTACAAACAGTCCTACATCCTCTTGAGACACTCTGCTGCAGCCAAGGTATTTTATACTGTCTGCACAACGGCAATACAAAATGCAATTTAATAAAAGACTTATTAAAAAAATCTGTATATGTTTTTGCATGATAAAAGACAAAACATTTAATCATATATATATATATATATATATATATATATATATATATATATATATATATAATGATTCCTAATGAATGAGAGTGATCAGACATTTACTGAAGCATTATTAATCCACAGTTGTGCTGGTGAACATCAGTTAATGCACTGAGAGTCAACAAGAACTAACAGAGAACAACTTTACTGTCATCAACTAACATGAACAGATCAATAAATACTGGAATAAATGTGTTATTATTGTTCAGTTCAAGTTAAATCATGAAGAAGAAGAAGATCAGAAGAGCAGAAACAAACGTCACACTTCATTTCTCCTTTATTCATTGAGCTGCTGGATTTCTCTACAGTTGATTCAAGATTTGACAGAGATTCAGACAGGATTCAGACATTTCCATGTTCATCGTCACATTCTAATATCAGCAGTGGATTTGACATTGACTTTTATTATTTGTGCTCAAACAACAGAGAAACAATGAAGAAGATCAATCTGTAGACAAGAATGAGCTGATCTGAACACAGCAGCATCCTGGAGGACACTTCATCAACATCAATGATGACACTGATGAAGACTGAGAAACACACACACACACACACACACACACACACACACACACACACACCTCTCACACACACATACAAACGCACTCACTCTCCCTCTTGCTCTCTCACACACGCACACACAGAAAGAGACACACACACACACACAACCACATACAGAGAGAGACACACATGTGCACACACACACACACACGCACACACACACGCACATGCGCGCGCACAAAACACACACAGCAGTAAACATGCATACACAGCAATGAACATACACCCACATACACACACACACACACACACAATTGAACATGCACAAACACACACACTCTCTCTCTCTTTCTCTCACACACAAACAGACACACAAACAAACACATGCTCTCACTCTCTCTCTCTCTCACACACACACACACACACACACACACACACACACACACACACACACACACACAAACACACACTGCTGCTGAGTGCTCCTGCAGAGGATTCTGGGTAAATCTCTCGTCAGTCTTCAGCTCAGTTTCACTGATGTTCCAGAACTAGGCCTAAACCCAGCACAGAGCGGCTCAGTGAATGTGGTCTGGACTGAGTGGATGAGGCTCATTGTGTCTCTATAGATGTTGTAGAAGATCAGAGTTCCTGCACTGTGATCCACAAACACTCCTATTCTCCTGCTGAGCGGTTCCACTGGGAGAGCAGTGTCTGTGTTATTGTGACTGAATATGAATCTGGATGAAGTGCTGATCAAACTCCAGGACTGAGCATTACGTCCAAACACACACTCATCACCTCTTCCCTTCCTGCTGATGCTCTTATATGACACTGATATACGCACACCAGCATCTCCACTCCAATCAATCTCCCAGTAACAGCGTCCACACACACTCTCTCTGCACAACACCTGAGGATTATCATCAAATCTGTCTGGATGATCAGGATACGGCTGATTCTCACTCACACTCTTCACCTCTCTGTTCTCAGACAGAATGAGACGAGTGTGTGCTGTGTTTGGATCCAGAGTGAGGAAACAGACATCTGAACACAAGAACAAACACATTTATAACCACAGCTGTGTGTGTGTGTGTGACGGAGAGAGAGCGTGTATGTGTGAGAGACAGAGAGAGAGAGTGTCGCGCACGCGTGTGTGTGTGTTTTGTGTGAGTGCATGTGTATGTGTGTGTGTGTGTGAGAGTGTATGTTTGTGCGTGTGTGTGTGTGTGTGTGTGTGTGTGTGTGTGTGTGTGTGTGTGTGTGTGTGTGTGTGCGCGCGCGCGTGTGTGTCAATCAATCAATCAATCAATCAAGCCTTTATTTGTCACTACACTTTCGTATAGCGAAATTGGACCCCCCAGACCATATGGAAAACAGTCCGTTGAGTGCGGGCAGCCAACTGGTCCAGCAGCCATTTCCGGTGCAAGTCACAGCCCCGCCCATGCCCCACGTGGGTAAAAGCACACGAAGGCGTTTGGATGGGGATCGGTGGTGAATGTTTATCTGTAGATATGTTTGTGTGTGTGTGTGAGCCTGCATAGTCCAGAGTCCCGCAGGTGTCCTTGACAGGGGCAGGAATTTCAGAGCGTCCGCTTATCTTGCTTATCCCAGGGAGTTGTTTACTTCCAGCCGAGGCCGTCTGGCAGGAGTAAGAGGAGAGCCGAAAAAAAGACAGTAAGATACTTCCACTTTAGGTCAATATCTGCCAATTTCACAGATATTTAATGTCCATCACTCGTCTCCCGATCTGGCCAAAATTTGTTGCAGAGCCGCTAACTTCACCTCGATGGTTTCCAGTTTGCGGTCAAGGACCATAGTCTGATTCGCGACCCTACCCATCAGTGTTTCAATCAAGCCGGCCAGCCTAGTGGGGTTTTGAGCTGCGCTGACCGCTTTTATCAGTTTCCGATATCCCAGGGCCCCGCATAAGCCCATCAGCAGAAACCCTGTTATCAAAGTTCCGAATAGGTAGATATCTTCATGGTGTCAATTGCATTCAGAGACCAGTTGATCAAATTCATAATTCCTTTTTCGTTTGGAAAGCAGGACAAGGAGAGCCTCAGAGATAGTATAAGACGAGACAAGAGGTGCTAGCAGGAGAGATATGGGACGGAGCGGGAAGAAGAGCGACCGCCTTCGCCGAGAGCCAAAGAAGAAGTGTGCGTGTGAGTGTGTATGTGTGAGTGTGTGTGCATGCTTGCGTGTGTGTGTGTGTGTTTGTGTGTGATTATGTGAGTGTGTGTGTTTGTGTGTGTGTGTGTGTGTGTGTGTAGTCCTACATTTGCGCGGTCCTGCTGTAATCCTCGTGTGTCCTCCATGATCCAGACTGTAAACACACACAGATGGAGAGAATGAGCTGTTTAGTTTCCCCCTCAGCTAATAAGCTAAAGCTAGCACTGAGCTGCTCAGCTACACGCTCCAAACTCTTGAGCTAAAACACACAACACTTGTTGGTTGAGCCGGTATGCACAATGAATGTAACACAGTGCGTTCTTTTCCTCTGCTGTTGGTGAAGCGAGCGCAGATACTGCTCATGTTGATGGAGACACCCTGCTGCAACATTCATTTATTACAGTGATCACACTTAGCTTTGCCATCGTTCTTCAGCACATGCAGCCTTTGAGCACATGTTGCAGTCCATCTCTAAACTATGTTCAGATTATTAAAGCTGCTCGCCAGCGCCCAAGTTCCTGACAGATTAGCAAGTGAAAAATACACATGTGTGCACAGAGAAGAGGAATCCAGATGTTGATTTTAGAACAAGAGTCTGAACATTAATCCAAGTGTCTGATTCCAGAATCTGAATCCATCTTCAATCCCCAACCCTATTCCTGACCTGATATTGTAGGATTCTTCAGCAGAAATGGAGGAAGAAGTTTCTCTGCTCAGCTCAAATGCTGAAACTGTACAGTGTGTCCCGCTTAATGTCACTGTAACTGAGCCAATACACTCCAACATTTACAGAGGAGATTCATTTCACACTCAATGATTTGCTCTTCATAGACCTGACTGTAATACTCTACAAGCTGTATCTTCTGTCTGTCCTCACCCCATAACCCTCACAGAAAACTGAAGCTGATCACAAAAGAGCTTTCTAGTGTCTTTTTAAAGCCATTCAGTGTAAAAGCACAAGGCCATTGCTGCTCCACATACTTGAGTTTGTCCAGTGTGTAGTTTGGATCCTCCAGTTGTTCAGAGAGCAGCTTGACTCCTGAATCTCCTGGATGATTGTAGCTCAGATCCAGCTCTCTCAGGTGTGAGGGGTTTGAAGTCAGAGCTGAAGACAGAAAACCACAGCCTTCCTCTGTCACCATACAGCCAGACAATCTACAAACACAGCAATAGTCCACATCACACAGTTGGACAATCACACATCTCTTTGTGTTGTGAAGATGCTGACTGCTGTTTCTGCTCATGTCAACAGCAGTGATGAACACACACATCCTGATTAGCTCTCCTTATTGATCGAGCCCTCGCATCAGCAAACACACTCACACACTCAACAAGGACTCGACATCATCTGTAGAAGTGTACAGAGCAAAGACATTGTTCATAATACACCACATCAAGCTGTAAAGTCTGCTGTGAGGAGGAAGAAGACACACTTGAGCTCAGAAGATCATCTTAAAGTCATGTATAAAACACAACAGGAAATGAGCTGATTTCATCATTTATTTTGTGATTCTGTTGTGGACTAAAACAAAATGAGCTCAGACAAACACAAACCCGCTCTTTTAATGTGTTTATCACCCGACCCACAGTCACTTTTATTCTGTCAGGAGAGAAACACCTGATCAATATTCATGACTGCTGACTCTCCTTCACATTCAGCCTTTAGCAGATATTGTTTTAGATGAGCGAGTAATCAGGATTATTTCAGACACTTTATCATGAGACTTTTATTTGTTTTCAAGAAACTGAAACTGCACAAATATGAGAGCAGCTCAAACCTTCAGCAGGACACAAAACAGCTTCACTTTAGCGTTTAACTCTGCTGCTTTCACACCTCCAGATCCACTGTTCTGTTCTGAAACAGGATTAACACTGGTATAATGTTTATTTGTGTTCTTGCTGTGGTTCACTTTCACAAGGAAAGTGATTTTAAATGTTGACACCCACAGACAGAGTCACAAAAACAGCGAACTCAGGCCCCGTTTGCACTAGTGCATTTTAGTTTGAAAACGGCGTTTTAGGTCAAAAACGATCCGCGTCCACCCTAGCATTTCTGAACATATCTCCGTTCACACTACGCCACCAAAACCGTACATCACATGACCATTCGTGTACTCTGGGCATGCGCGTTCTAGTATAAACAGGAAGCATGTGTCTCGCTCGGCATTTGGTTATTGGTAGTCAACAAACGCCGGTTGAACAATAAACGCGAAGCCAAAAAGCAAGAGAGGTGTTTTTGTGGA